TCGATCATAAAACGGAGTATTTATTACATCTTGTCAGGTCTATTCCCCTCTCAAATTACTGACTTCAGATCGTTGTTCAAGTTCAGCCGGCTATAGGTGAGCTTCCAACAATTTCCCCTGCCGAATATTACGTCTCAGTACCTCCCATTTTGACGTTTCTGCAACATTCTGCATCGTACAGGCGCTATAGCCAAGTGGTTACGGCGACAGATTAGAATTTCTGACTGGTAATTGGAATTGTCTGTAAACACTTCATCTGTTCCTCTTTGAGGGCGCAGGTTCAAATCCTGCTGGCGTCGTAGGGAACCATTATTTTAGTGCTTTTTCCTGTTTCTTATCAACATGTACACTTTTCTGGAAAGGTGCGGAGAAAGGTGAACAGGATGGGTGTGTGGAAGGTGAGGTGAGGAGGATTTTGAACTTATTTTTTTGTTTCTGGAGCATCTGTGAGCGGGCAAGTATGATGAAGAGATGTCACAGAATGTAAGGCTGTTGTACTATGCAAATATAGTGAAGACTGTTTGATAGCACGAATTTCTCTACTGCGCCACAATTGATTGATGATCGGTTGGGATACATGTATGTAGCATAGATACTATACTATAGCATAGTAAGTACATATGGTCAACTTAGAACAGACTGACTCCGAACACATGCTGCTATGACCTTTGTATGCATGCATGCACATTGGTGAAGGTTCGAATCCTTCTTTACGTGAAACTGCACGATAGAGTAGGACGAGTTTTTTTTTAAACGGAAGAAGGCCTGCTTCGAGTTCCAGAGGTTGAATGTTGAGGGATAGGTAAATTGTACTATTCAGGAGTTGGATTGAAGTCGGAGGAGCCTCAGGCATATCAAGATCGAAGCTACTTAGTATGGAACTAGTAGTAAGTAGTTTGTCCATAAAAATAACAGACACCATGCCCAAGTTGTTAGTACTTACACAACAGCTTGGAGAAGTTGCCGGGAAAGGTTGAACAATTGGTATTGTAAGAGACCTGAGCGTAGGTTCGAATCCTGGCTTCCAGGCATTGAAATGGGTAATTGAGCTTCTTTTCATCCCGCAATTTTTTGATGAAGCCGTTTGCTTGGTGTACACCGGTGGACACATTGAACACACTTATCTAGATGTATGTTGATATATCTGTTATCAAGACCTCTGCAATTGTAGATGCTAAAGACTCGGAGGTGATCTGACGTGATTTGACATGAAGAAACTCTGCGGGCCGCCGCCACTGGGGAGTTTTGTGATTTAGATGAGGGTGGAATGCAGTGGAGATGAAGAATTTGGCAGTCATATGTAGAGCCTACGAAGCTTTTCGTAGGTGATCGACGTTGAAGGGTACCGGGGTTCGGACCCCATCACCTGATACAAAAGCCAATCACAATGCGGAAGAAAACGTTTCCCCATGGATATAAGGGCGCTATAGCCAAGTGGTTACGGCGACAGATTAGAAATCTGTTCCTCTTTGAGGGCGCAGGTTCAAATCCTGCTGGCGTCGTAGGGAGTTTACATTTCCGTCTTTTTTCTGTGTTTTATCGTATATCCCCATGGTACGTCTCTCAGCAACTACGACGGTGGAGGGACAAGTTGGGAGATTGTCAAGAGTTGAATTTCAGCCTCAGATAATTAATTCATCGATGGAGATGAGGATAAGCTTATAATGGTAAGGACAACTTGGGATTTGCTAGTAATGTAAATATTTGACTGGTGAAGTGTTCTGGTCTATGGTACATGGATGTAAGGATGCCATTCTCCTCCCTATGCTCAGTGTAAAGGCGCTATAGCCAAGTGGTTACGGCGACAGATTAGAAATCTGTTCCT